CTGTGGCCCACGGGAGGGACTCAAGTTGGAGAAATGTTGTGGAGAACTGTCTCCTGTGAGAGGGGGACCACGCTGGAGTGGGGGGAAGAAGTTCCAGAAGTTCCACCCCCCATCTGAGATGGAAGAAGTGGCAGCACTGACTGCACCCCCCCATTCCCTGCCCCTGCACCAGTGGGGGGAGGAAGAAGAGATATCAGGAGCAGAGCTGAGCCCGGGAAGAATGGAGGGGTGGGGGGAAGGTGCTTTCAAGATGCGGCAATGCTTCTCACTGTCCTACTCTGTCTGTTAAATGGTGTTGTTATTAGTGTCTGTATTAAATTTATGTTATTTTTCTTTTCTTCTAATGAGTCTGCCTTTTGCCCATGACCATAATGAGTGATTCATCCCCCTCTGTCCTTATCTTGAATCCAAAGGCTTTGCTTATTTTAGCCTTCCCAGCACTGGGGGGCAAGGGGGGAGTGAGTGGGTGTGTGGTGCTCAATTGCCCTCTGAGCTGAAACCATGACACTGAGCTGAAACCATGAAAAAGTAGTGGCCTGAAAGCCTCAGTCCTACAAGGCACCATGCGCTTTCCATTCCTGTGCAAGGAATTCTTACAGGAGATGGTTACAGGGTCTATCCTGCCCTCAGTCACTTTTTTCCTGGGTAATACAGTGGCACTACTACCGTCAGGAGGCCAGAACACTTCACCTAAAGACAGAGCTTCAGCAACTGGAGTAAGCCACACACAAAGGAGATTTTTGCACAACAGTCACAGAAGAACCACCTTGGCAGATTTATTTTTTAAATTTTCTTTCTGGCAGCAGACATATCAAACCCTGCTCCACCCCACAGAGCCACAGAATCTCCCACAGTGCACTCCCTCCGGCATGCTACAGATGTGCTGCTGTTACCTAACACTGCTGTCTCCTCATGTAAATGTAAGCCTCTGTTTCAGACCAAGAAAGCTAATGTTACATTTCTAAGAAAAATTAATCCTTTTTTTTTTTTTGGGGGGTGGGGTGGGGGGGGTGGGGAAAGGGTTCAGCAGAGAACACTTAGCTCTGGTAATAACACATCAATACCTAAACTGTGAAGAGTTACATAATTCATTAGACTTGTAGATTGCTGGAAACAGATTTAATAGTAACAGGCACCGACACAGTGTTTTGATTGCTAATAGCACATCAGTCGGTATACAGCTGCTGCAGTCTCAAGTGCCAAAATCCATTTGCACCTGAAGCTCACCTGCACTGGTCAGGCCTCCCCTGCTCTCAGTTCAACACTGGCACCACCCGATTAAGAACCAGAAAATCCTATTTAGAAAGGGGCTCCAGAACAGAACCATGAAATGTGAAGCTTCATGCAATCTCAAACATGAAAGCATAGTGCTCATATGAAACAAAGTGAGACAACTACCTTTTTAAAATTTTGCATTTTGATCCTGTTGGACTCTATTTTTCAACACAGAAATAAGATACTCCATTTTGTAAGTTTAGTATACACTTTTTGCATATAAACATAATTTTCTTTTCTCCTTGAGTAAAAAGAGGTAGCTTAAAAGACACATTCCCTGCACTGAAAGGCTACAGAAAGATCACATTTTGTACTGAAATTCCCTCTAACTAACTTGCACAGAAAGCAGAGTTAAAACTCCTGCCTTACAGCTCCAGTTTTGCTGTCTTGGTATCAGACTGCAAGAACCTAGCTACGATTAATAAATACACGGTGACACAGCACAGGATTACTTAGTTTCACATATCCCAAAAGAGCAGCTTTTGAAGATGTATGAAAAGCTACATTCCTTTTGAAAATCTGTCCTATTCATAAGTTCTGCAGAGCAAAACATGTGCTCAGTCCTCTCATCTTTACCTCAGCAGATGTGCTACTCCTAGAAGGCAAGAGAGCTCTACAGAAATAAAACAGGTTGTTGATACTGAAAGGGCAGAATACAACCAACATTTGCCTGTGAGCTAGTAAAGAGTGAGAGTGCAGCTGCATAAATTTTTCACAGCAGAGAAGACTGGCTGGAAAAAGCTGGGAACCGACTTAACGCCAGAACAAGGCTAGAGGAATGGGACTATGTCCCAGAAAACGTGGGTAAGTGAGCTACTAGGCTCCCTCTAAAGAGACATTTTTTGGAAAAATTCAAGCCAGGAATTTTGGTATACTTGCTGGAACTCTCCTGAAGAAATTCCATTTTATGTCTGTCTCACCAGGAATGTAACCCTCATTTCCAAATGAGGCTCAGCCTGCCCTGTGTACTCACTCTGTCTCAGTGCACAAGGCATGACATTTGGAAAACTGGAGTACTAGTGCCACATATAAAGCAGTTTGTGAACTGTGTGTCATTTATACTGGAAATTAAACAACTCCCTTGCAGGCTCACAAAGCTTATACTTGCTACGTGCTTTACACTAATTCAGCAAGAACAAAGCAGCTTGAGTGAGGCAGGTTGTTCCCTACCAAATGTAATGATTCTATATGGTGGCCAAAAACATCTGTGCTAAATTTGGTGCACTGCATGCATGGCAATGAAACATGAAAAATTCTCCACATGAGTTCCAGAAAACTGACCTGCAGGTTCCCACAAATTCCCCATAATCACCTCTTCAAAACAGTTGCTTGAAGAGTACCTTTTAGACAGAAAGGGACACAGACAAAACCAAGTTAAAAGTGCAAAGAAAATACCATTATTCTTCTGATTGGAAATTGCATCAAAACCAGAAACTGGTAAGCAGGCAACATAACTGATGGATGAAGAGTCCCTTGAAAATGGAAGAAAGGAAATAGGCAGTTCTAGAAAAGATGCAACAGTGAGAATAGTCTTGTTCCAGACATCAACCCTAAAGAGAGAGTTCTCTTCAAACATGTACTTGAGCACAGCTTACGCACACACCTGCCAAGGACCTTGTGGCTGGCTGTGGCCGGCAGCCTGCGCAAGACAAGATGGTAGTGCTGAGAGTGCTTGACCACCAGAGTCATCACCAAAGTCCCCACCAGAGCAGAGAAGAAATCCACGCTCCTGGATCCTCTTGCGAGCTTTGGGCAAGTAAAACACTCTGAGTCCAAAGAGACAGTGAAAGCTAAACATTCAGACTATGGATAATTTGGATAAAGGTACAGGTTTTACACGATCCCATACCATCAGCAATGCCTCCACGATGCTGGTTTGACATTGCCCAGCGGGTGGGACGGGTGACCAGCAGAAGCAGCCCTGTGCCGACCGGCAAACTGCACTGCGTCGGATTTTCCTGAAGTGAATGTGCTGTGCCAGAGAAGTTCCCTGCTCCCGAGGAGCCGCCCGGGCCACCGAGAGCTCATTTGCTTCCAGGGAGACGGATCCCCAGCCCACCTCTGTGCTGTGGGACCTGCCTGCTTCCCCACCGTGGACGGTATGTTCTGAGGAGGAGATCCTGGCTCCAGAGGAACCAGACATAGCTTTGCAATCGCCTCACCCACGGGCAGGACTTTGCCGTGAAGGTATGGCTGGAGCACTGAGCGTGAGGAGCACCGAGCATCCCAGAGCACCTGCCCGCTGAAGAGTGTAAGCAGAGCAGCAGTGTACCACAACGCCTCTAGGGACTTTGTGTGTGAAACGTAATGGCGTAGCCACATCACAAGACGGTTCACAAAGGCAGACAAAAGAAGCTAAAACGCACACCAAGTGAGTCAAGGGGCATGGCTGAGCTGCTGTTTGGTGCCAACTGTAGCGAATTGTTAATCAACTTCAATACCTAATTAAAGATTCATTTTTAAAGGAGGAAATCACAGCATCCCCAATAACAACAGTATCTGTACCAACTGCATTCCACAGGTATCTTCTGAATATTACCTCAAATATTACGTTAGGATGAACAGTACTCAAATAATAAAGTATTTATGTTACAACGTTCTATAAGAGTATTTTGTGGAAAACAAGAAAAATCTTAATGTGGTATGTAACTGATGCATTAATTTTGGAGTGCAGCTCTGTCCCCATTACATCACAGGAAGAACTGCAAGCCTATCCCCAATCCACACATCCAAAGACTAACAGTTTTGAATTTTTATACAATGCACTTAGTTGTCATCTTCCACTAAGGTACAGTGTTATGCACTTCAGAAATGAATCAAGCAAAACCTTGAACACACTGAGGCAAACTGTACTGTAAATACCTTGTTCCATCTCAGAAAGAGAAGTGGAAAGAATCTTGCTGTGAAATAGCAAAGCTGATCATCTTCTTGGTAAGAAATTTACCAGAGTCTGAAATCGAAGACCTGGCAGAAAAGTTCTTAAAAAGAAAGTTACATTGTAGGCCTGATACTGCCTTCTACCCTCTTAATAAATTCAGCTTCTTCGGTGATGGAGCACCAGCAATGTTAGCACTGCATAAGACTTAAGTTTTGGTTTTTTGTTTCTTTTGAATGAAGGCAACCGTAATGCATTTTGAAAAATCATTTCTGATTATCTGCCCCCCTCAGTTTATCTGGAAAACACCAACCCGTTTTCACCACAGTATTAATCATCAGTGCAAAACTTTACCCAGACAGACCTGAATAGTCACAGTATCAAGAAGGTTACAGTCCACCATTAGCACCTCACAGTTTGTGTCGTCCTCTACTAAAAACTGGAAAGGATACTGTTCGTCTTCAATCTGGTAGCATGTGGGTACCTTATTGTGAGTGAACATGACCTGATCTAGCCCACATTTGGGTAAGTCAGTCAGGTAAGACCTCCGTGGGGAAAAAGAGCTATTGTAACAGGACACGCAGACATTCACAGACCTACTAGTGGGTCCAATCAGTAGATCCAGTTGCATTTAATAGCTACCTATTAATTATAATGTGAACCATTATTACTCATACAGTAGATGCCATAGACTGCTGCAAGAGACTGATGATAGGTGGTCGTCACTCTTTACGAATTCACTGACTGACAGACAGTACCCGAAGAGGTGCAGATATTTAAGCTACATCAGAACAGAGTGGAAGAGGAGCTACACATCAGCCATTACCGTTCCAGCATCAGAAAGGCCTTCTTGCTATTCACCACCCTTTTATTTTAAGTTTGACACAGCTGAATTTCCCAAACAATCTTGCAGTTAACCTTCTTTACAAAGTATAAATACTATTCCAGTTTTATACAAAAGAAATACAGCTGTTTGTATATACACACACCTCGACAGCAGGTCCTTGAAAGAACACTGTACTATGAAACTACAGAGCTAATATACACAGAGCACTGATTTAGCTGAAGGTCAGAAAGTCTCTGCTAAGAAAGGCAATCTGTTAAAGTTCTCACTAGAATTTGAGTGTTTGAACTGAACTCGTAATATATGAATGAGATAATAATAATTGTGTGACATGCTCTCATACAACTTATTAGTTATATTCTGGTTTATAAATTGTATCTTGTAATTGCTGCATTTAACTGAAGCCATCCAGTACAGAATGGAATTGTTTGAATACATCCTACTGGTATAAGGAAGCAGCCTTGTTGAATGACACATTACCAATTTTTCAGACACTGAATATATCCAAGAGTAAAATTAAGACACGAGTGAGATGACAGAAGGTTTGGTAATTATTTTTATGTTGGCTTTATAGCTTTTTTGGTTTCTTTAGGAAATTCCTTCACAGCAAAAGGAATGAAGAAATCCAGAAGAGAGTTGACCTCCTTCAGTTCCAGGCTGTATTCCACTGCTATTTTCTCTGCGGTCCATATGTGAGGACGGAGTTTATGATTATTAAGAAGCATCAGAGCCTCCACAATGGAAATTTTGCCTTTGGTAACTTTCTTAACATCTAGATCTCCCAAGTGGCCTACTTTTGTAAGTCTCTTTTCCTCCTGTTTACATGGAAGATGTTCACCACCTCCATCTTTTACCTAATTGTGGGAAGGAAAACAAAAAGACCTTAACAGCAGTTCTGTTAACTATGCATACTGTAGCAGCCAAGCTGTTTTTCTAAATGTGGCATTTCCTCTTAGCTTTCCCCATTTTCACAGCATTATAAAAAATAACAACGCTTAGCCAGCCTTGCTTCTTGATATCACAAAAGTTGTCCATTATTCCACAGACATTCTACATACAATGTCAACCCCCACCCAAATTCTGAAAAGCTACCATCCATTGAGCTCTAGCTGTTGTACAGACTTGGCAGCCCTTCATACAAGGCACACTACAGATTTTGGTAGCCAAACGTAAATGCAGATAACCTAATATTTGGTAGTGATTCATGGCAAGAGAAAAAAAAAAATAATCATACTACAAATTGGTATTATTCTGATACCACTGGAAACCTTTTTCATATAATCTCTCTCCCCTTCATTTTCAGATTTTAGTTTTGCAACTAAAAGGTCCCTTCTTTTGCTCTGTCTAGAGAACAAGCTTTGCTGGACAAAAAGGAACTATTTTGCAGCATCACATGGAGTTTAATTCACATGATTTTTGCAGTGCTCAGACACATGAAGTCTCTATTCCCAAGTTCCATCCTATTTCCAAGTCATTTCCAAACCAGCTCTGCCTTACCTGTATTGCCTTTTACTAAGATTTAACCAGTGAATGACACTATAAAAAAGACACAGAGAAAACCTGTCCTAAATTTAAGAAAAAGTACTTTTAAAGTTATCAGAATCCACAGCCACTCTTTAGCTTATAGACACTGTATTAACTCACAAGCTGAGAAAACCCATGTGGGTGCTACAGCATCTATAACTGCGTGTCTCTTTCTAAACTACAGAGAATGTCTGATGATGCTACCAGTTCTCCATTTCCTCCTTTTACTTTGTGCTAAAACTGTGCTCAGATAATGAACAACTTTTCAAGCCTTCATAAAATGATCTGTCTCTGCGTATCTGCCACTTCAAGAATTACAGTTGGTGCTTTTCCACCTACCACTGACAGACATATCAAATATACATATGTATGTATACATACGTGATGCAGAAAATATTCAGAATAACATCAGGAAAGGAAGGAAGCTTTTGGATCAAGTTTTACCCACAAGCCTCCATGCTAACACATTAATCATGCTCTTCCTAACAACTACATGTAGACACACCAGAAGAGCAAGTCTCACATGGCAGCAACCTCAGAGCAGGTATGGAATCAGGCACTAAGATTTGTTCAACTTCTGGCTTTTTCTCAAGTCATTCTTGACAGGCTTACAAATGAGTATTGAAATATATTGAAATTAGACCTTCAGCACTTCAAGGTTAGAGTCATAACCTCTATAACAAAAATTAAGGATAGAGATTACTTGGAAACTTTGGGGAGAGACTCCAGAAATCTGTATTTTTAAATACTTTTAGTCTTGAATACAAGGTACTATGAAAGTGGCACATTAGAGTCTTAGGTATTTTACTGCTAGATAATTATAGGACTTTTATTACTGAATAAAGCAGCTAGAATAAAGTGGCCCAGTAATGCAACAGGTAAAACACACAAGCCATAATGTAACATGGTGGAAAAGAGAAGACTGAACCTGTCTGCATTTTACTGGAAGGGGTATGGCTTTGCCTTCCAAGTCAAAGACTGCAGCCACTGGCAGTGAGGAAACTGATCACTAAACAATCCAGAAGGTTATGCAGAAAAAAAACTTAAGGCCCTTCCTCAGCCACATAAGGAAAAAGTCTCTGCACAGTATGACATTAAAACCAGTAGTTAAAGACTCCACTAAAATGTTAATGTCTTTATCCTCTACTACTTCCATGTTCCCATAGTAGTCTTAATCTCTTTTCTTCTAACAACTATATGAGAGATCTCTGGCAAACTCCTGCGTCTTTGCAAACGGCCAGCCAACTGTCCTCTGCCTTAGAGGAAGCAGAACTGGAAGTAACAAAAACATTAATTTTATCTATAAAAAAGGTAGCTCTTGAGCAGTAACGGAGCGCTTTTCTTCAGACAGAATTTGCGCTGAGTTTGAAAATCACAAAGCTGACGCTGGTACGCCTCCTACAGAGACACACTCACCGGCACAAGTGGATCTCTGGACTCGACGTAAACATCTTTTAACAAGGTCAGGAGCCTGTCGTCCTTTCTGTAAATTTCTTCCTGTACCTCTGGGCGGCCTGAAGGCAGTGAGGAGAAGAAGGGGTGGGGGGGGGTGGAGAGGGGTGTGGAAATAAAAAGAGAAGACAGATCTGAGTCAGATTGTTTCCCTTCCCTGCGTTCTGCCCGCTTACTCGCTTCCCGGGAGGCACGGCGCGGCTCCCAAGGCGCACGGTGCTTCTCGGGAGGGTTTCGTTTTCCCACCCGCTCCGGGGCTGACGACGCCGCTGCCCGTCAAGGCCGCGCGGCACGGCGGAAAGCCCCCGCCGGCGGTACGCTCCCTCGCTGCTCCGCCCCGGCCCGCCGAGCCGCCGCGGGGTACGGGGGCCGGCTCCGGCTCCGACCGGGCCCGGGGTACGGGGGTACGGGGGCCGGCTCCGACCGGGCCCGGGGTACGGGGGTACGGGGGCCGGCTCCGACCGGGCCCGGGGTACGGGGGTACGGGGGCCGGCTCCGACCGGGCCCGGGGTACGGGGGCCGGCTCCGGCTCCGACCGGGCCCGGGAGCCCCGGCGCCATGGCCGCCCCTAGCAACCGCCCCTAGCAACCGCCGCCGACCACGGCTCCCAGCATGCCCCGCGCGCCCAGCCGCCCCGCTCTCAATGTCACCGGCCCCGCGCCGCCCGCGGCACACGCCGCCCCGCGCACCCGGCGCCTCGCCCACGCAGCCAGCCCCCAGCACACGCGTGCCGCCCGCTCCCACGGCTCGGCCCCGCGCCAGGCCGACAGACGCCGCTGCGCCGACCACCACCACGCCGACCACCACCACCACCACCACCACCACCACGTGCGAAGCTGGCACCCACCGGCCAGCTCGTCCAGCCGAGCAGTGGGGTGCCGCGGCGCGGGCGTGGGCTTCTCCTTGCTGATCTCGCGGCGGGCGCGGCTCTCCACGTTGAAAGCCCAGTACGCGCGGGCCAGCCGCCCGCCCATCGCCACCGCCGCCCCACGCCGCGCCTGCGCGGGCCGGCGGCGCATGCGCACAGGCCTGACCGCAGGGTCACGGCGCTGAGGCGGCGCTCGGGAGCGGGCGGCGTCAAAACAACAAAACAACCAACCAACCAACCAACCAACCAACCAACCGAAAAAGCCCCAACAAACGGAAAGTTCAGACGAGACGATTCCCTTTTTTTTTTTTTTTTTTTTTTTTTTTTTTACTTCACAGCGCCCCGGCGGTGTTCCCTCCTCGCAGCCTCGGGCGCCGGCCCGCCCGCCGCCGCGGTGAGGGGCGGTGGTGTGGTCTTGCCGTGGGTTTTCTATAACGCGTGGGTGAGCGGAGCCCGCGGGGAGCTTTCCCCCCGCGTTGGTGGGAGCCAGGGCTGGGGGAATCCCGTCGGGAAACGCCATTAAGCGGAGCCCGGGCAGCGAGAATGGGGACGGGGCAGGTGCTGCGGGCCGGCTCGTACCCGCACCCCCGCGGCCTCGGTGCGTGCAGCCTCCTCACCCTCTTCTGGAATCTTCCAAGTTCGTTCATGGGGGGGTGGCAACATGGAAATATGTAGGAATGTTGTGCCTCCTAATCTCATTAAGGGGTATAGCGTTTCCTTATCGGCACCCTACTGGTTTATTCAGTGACAGAAAGTTAATTTTATGACCAGGTATCGAGAAGGCGTACTCTGCATGGAAGTCTGAACAATTCCCCGCTACCTTTCAGAATCTGGGCTAAGTAACATTGTCAGGGTGCAGTCCCTCTCTTTCAGCCTAACCGATTAACTGAACAACTTCTGCAAAAATTGCTAAACTGCAGGAAGGAATTGTGAGAAAGTACTTTGTCCTGAGCCGTGCAAGAATAAGAAAGGTAAAAGAGGTAAAATTGTTGAGATGGAATCATCATTTTAAAGATTCAAGAAGAAAAACATAAAAAGATGGTAAAATCCTCTGAGAAAGGAAGGCAGAAAGAACAGCACTAAAAGCTAGCAATCTGTTGTGAGAAGCAGTAGAACCTGACAGTCCTTTGCAGGATCAACCAAGATTCATAGGGTGTCTTATCAAAGGAGGTTATTAGTGGCACATTAATTCCAACTGCTGTGTGAATTAGCCAATAAGCAGTTGCTTTATGTTTTTAAGTTGCTTATATGTTGCTTGCAGACTCTTTTAATGCATAGTAATAGTTGCATGAATTAAGTAACTTGGGGTGGGAGTGTTCGTGAAGGACAGAGACAAGACCCAACTTCTTGTGTTCTTTTTTTTGGAGGAAAGCATGTATTTTCAGCCCTTGCATCCATCTAGTCGTGCTACTCCACCACCTTTCCTTCCTTGCCTATCTCTTCTGAAGAGTTTATAGCCATCCATTGCATCGCTCCAGTTACGCGAGTCATCCCACCGTGTTTCCATGATGGCAACTATGTCAGTTTTCCTGCTGCACCCTGGGTTCCAGCTCAGCCTGTTTGTTGCCCATGCTGTGTGCATTGGTGGCGATGCACCTCAGTTGGACTGTTGATCCGGCCACCTTTCCTGGGAGAGAAGCCCAAAATCCTACATGACCAGTCTCAGACACTTCCATGGTTTCTAACACATCAGTAACCCTTGTGTCTTTGCTGCTGCAGGGATCTCCACCTCCTGCCTCCACTGAGACAGCAGACCGAAGCACCTCACTAGCACACTGTCCCTCAGACGTTGGCATGCTGTCCCCAGTCTTATCTCTAGTGAGCCTGGGCTTACCCCTTCCCCCCTTTCAAATCGAGTTCAAAGTTCTTCAATGAGCCCAGCTAACTACTGTGCAAAGATCCTTTTCTCCCCTTGACACAGGTGTACCCCATCTGTCGCCAGCAGGCCTAGTGTCCTATAAACTGTGTCCATGATCAAAAAGCCCAAAATTCTGCTGGTGACACCAGACTCAGAGCCAGGTAATGATCTTCTGGATCTTCGTCTTTCTTTCCTCATCATTCCCTGCAACTGAAAGGGCAGAGGAGAAGACTACTTGTGCTCCTGATCCCTTAACCAGTTGTTCCAAGGCCCTGAAGTCTCTCTTGATTGCCCTTGGACTTCTTGTTGCAACTTTATCACTGCTTACCTGAAAAAACAATAATGGATAATAATCTGAGGGCTGAACCAGGGTGGGAAGTTTTCTCATTACATCTTTACCCCAGGTCCCAGGTAGCATTATTTAGTAATAATATACTAGTAGGATTATTTAGTAATAACAGTGATGGTGTGATAGTTATTAAGGCTACAGTGTGCTTGAATATAGCATAATGAATGACAGTGTTTTCCTTAGAGGGAAACCAAAGGACAATCTGATGGATGAGGAAAGCCAAATAGATTTACAAAGGCAATGGAGACAAGGTAGCATACACATGGTCCATGCTGTATCTCTGCTGTCTTAGGGAATCCTGAAGGTGCTGTTTTTCCACTTCTGTCAGTAGGAGAAGGATAGAAACATGTCTTTAATTTATGTTCTCTGGCAATAAACTTACTGACCCCATCTTATTTTAGGCACTGCATGTGTAGTGATACTAAGGAGATAAGTGATAATAGTGGCAATAGGAACAGGGACACTGTTAAAAGCTGCTGGACTCAGGCTGGTAGCAAGTTTAATTAATATCATTAGTCAGTTACTTGCTGACTAAACGTATGTTCTTCACTACAGGATTTGATATTTTTGTAAGTGGTTAGCCTATCTGGTGCAGCAATGATGGTAAAATTCACATGGATGCCTGCCTGTGGTGGTTGTAGACCTTGGATGTGTACTTTCGCATTTCTCTGAAACATATTCTTATTAATCTGTCTGTGGATGAAAGCCATTGTGCCAGATTTGGAAATATTCTCCCTTCAAAAGGTAAGAACTGCTGGCTTCTGGGATCAAATTCTGTCTCCATAAAGCCTGAATGTGACTAACACTGCTGTAATATTTACTGACAGCAAAATAAATTCACCAGAAGGCAGTCAGTTAAAGAGTGATGTCATGCTCTGCCTGTCACTTCCTATCACTGAGGATGGCATGAGGCTGTTCTTTTTATGTATAAGGAAGCATGAGAAGTACAAGATTTTTATTTTGAAGAGTCTTCCTCAGACTGTAACAAGCAGAAGAACTGAGATGAAAAACTTTTTTTTTTTTTTTTGATAATTTGGTGTTTTACCAATGCGATCGTGTTGATATTAAATACCAGTAATCAAGAGCTTGGATTTTTTTTCCATATAAAGTGTCAGCAAGTGTGATTATTAAAAAAAAGAATGTGTAGTTCCTCAAAGCATAAGAACTTGTGTGTATTCAGCTTATACAGTGTTACAAATGGGATGCATTTTTCTTGAACCAGGAGCCTGAATTTTTCCAAGGAATTTAAAAATAACAAAAGAAATAAATCAGTTCTCAAGTAGCTCTTTAGCAAAAGAGCCCATGAGAAGAACACTGACTATCCAGCTGAGTTGATGTATACCAGCAGCCTGTTCTCAACAGCGGACAGCATCAAACACATCAGAGAAAAACACTGTAACTCACACAATATACGTGTGCCATAGGCTGCCACACTAGATCTCATTTTAGTCCTTTCACACCTCTAAGAAATTTCTAAAACTACTGTGCACCTGTAAAATAAAAAGTACAGTTGTGATCATTCTTTGCATCTTTTGCTTCACTTTTTCATCCCAGTTTTGATTTTATATTGTGTGTTCTTCGTTTTTCATTCTCACTAGTTCTGTAGCTGAATGAAAAATTCAAAAAATAATTTTGATAGTTACCTAGCATCAAAATTCTGATTGATCTATTGAAAATGCCCTTTAGAGAAGAGAGAATAGGAATGTCTGGAGTTAGCTTGTTTTGCTGTGAGGTACTACTAAGGTTTCTCTGCTGTCTTTACTATTCAGAAGAGCAGTAGTAGTCCAGATGGGCAGGTAATCTCAGTGAATAAGAGTCTTGTTTTAGTAATGGGTGCCCAACTTGACAATTTTTGAGAGGAGGCAGGTGAGGTTTGCTATGTGATTTATGGTCTGGGAACTACCCTCTAGTTCCTTCCAGGAACTAGAGTCTGCTGTCAACAGCAGAGGAAAATTAGAAGTGCTCTTATACCTCAGCAGCATAGGTTTATGTTTGATTCTGCCCACATTTTCTACCATTGACACTGTTTTCCTCTTCTCATATTTTTGTCGCTATTTGTTGATCATTTATGGCAGTCTAAAAGGGAAACTCTAGCAAAATCATGCATAATTAGGACTCAGGGAATTGAGTCCTCTGTCCTGATTACTGGTTTCCCAGTAAATACAATGAGAGCATTGATCCATTTGTTCCTTATCTCATCAGCGTTAGGCAGAACCAGAGAACACAGCATTAGCAAGAATTGATTATGAGCCAAGCAAAAACGACTGTCCTGCAACACTGTAAAGACAAACTCAAGAAAGATGGACATTTAGACCACTGATGCCTTTCCGTGATTTGTTGTTGTTCTGCTACTTAGTTCAGTTTGTTTCTGTCTTATGGAGTCAACTGATCCATCTTTTACTGGATCCTGAAGTATCTACAAATACATGGAAGATGGAAGGCTTTTGCTTAATTCCAGGCTGTGATCAGTGTTACTGAACACTTGCATCTTTTCAAGGCTAGGTGGCTGCAGTGCTTTATGTAAAGGAGTTCTTGTCAAGTCCTTACATGGGTGAAGTTTATGGGGAATGCAGCAAGCTCATGTTTACGGGCTCAGACACCTGCCCAGACAGGTCACTAGCTCCTTGTCAGATAACATTAATTTCAAAGACATTATCTTTAAATTATCCTGATTGACTGTGGCTTGGTTTACCTGACGTCATCTTCCATAATTTTCCTACCTGATTGTTATATCTCAATTAGCAGGTTACTTTGACTTGGAAATGCACAGTAAGAGCCAGCATATTTGAGAATAAGGCAGGCTGGTACTGGAATTAATTAATTATAGCAATTACACTTGCATTTTAATTTCATTTTTACTCAGAGGGTTCAGTTCCTCATGCTCTTTTCTCAGTGACAATACTAGTTGAGAGAAATGACACCCTCATTTTTTC